AAAAAAAAAAAAAAAAAAAAAAAAAAAAAAAAAAAAAAAAAATTTAAAAAAAAATTAAAATAAATATATATATATATATATATATATATTCCGTACGGGACTCGCCGATTCACTGTACGGACTCGCCAATTCCGTACAGTGAATCGGACGATTCCCATTTTTTTCGCCGATTCGATCCGTCCATGGCGATTCCCGAGTCGAACCGGGCAAGTCCGGTTCGACTCAACGTTTTTTTAAACACTGGCAAAGACCATTAAATTTTTAGAAAGTGAGATCTAAGTACTAGAGAACTCAAATTTCTTTTTTCTTTTTTTTTTTTAAGAATAATCATTTAGTAATTCTCAAGTAGTCACCAAAATTTTAGACTAAAAAAAATCCTTCCAAATAGGGAGTAGAAAGTAGACTATGCTTCCAGAGGGAGCATAATATACATGCTCATCATTGAAATAAATCATTTGAAAACGAAAATTTAAGCACGTCTACCACTAGATTTGACAAATGCACCAAATATTGCCGACATGAACTGGATTCTCTCTCATCATAAAGCTTATTTTAAGATTTTTTTTTTTTTGTCCCCCAAAAGTTTCATATGACTGTTTGCTTGGGTCGAGGAAAGAAAAATGAGGTCAACTAATGCAACGCCGTTCTTTAATTAGATATTATGACTTTGTGAAATATTTTTAACAAGATAAACGATCCTATAAGACCCTCTCTCATCTATATGTGTAAGACTCCAAAAGATCATCATTAAATTTGACACGAATCTATAAAAAAATCAAATCCCATATCTATGTAATAACTTTTTTAAAGATCCGTGCCAATTTCAATGGTGATCCTTTAGGTCCTCCACACATAGGTGGGAGAAGGTCCTGATCATTACTCTTTTAACAATTCAAATTTCATTTTGTAAGAAAGTCATTATTTTCATTAGGGCATGAAAATCCCAGTCTTAATTTTGCTTAAACTGATCCAATAATGAGCCGACTCCCAACATTTTTCATAAATATCCATAGTTCATTGCGAATCAAACTTGAGATATGGCGCTGCTAACCATTCAAGCCCAAGCCCAAGCCCAAGCCCAAGCCCAAGCCCAAGCCCAATCCCAATCCCAATCCTAAAAAATATGCATAGTTGGTAGAGAAGTGCACGATGGTCCAAAAATACACACGAGACAAGTATTATTAACCTTATTTCGACCAAAACTATGTTCTGACATTGCGAAAAAAGAGGTATCGACGGCAAGAAAAAAAAAGGAATAAAGAAGACAATGTCCACATTTGGGCATTCTCACAATTACAGATTGCTGCTGTTTGAATATTATTCAGCACAAAAATGCAGGCCTAAGATCAAATATTGGCAACACAGAGAACTGATAATGAAGAATTTGGGGGGTGGGGAGAGAGAGAGAGAGAAAGTCTGAGTTCTGTTTCTCAGTACCAACAAAGCCTTAGGACTTTTAATATGTGAAGATAAATAACCTATTACTGGAGATATCCACGGCAAAATTAATAAACATCGTCCCCCCTGAACCTGCAAAGCAAGAATAGCATGAGATCTTCTATGAAAACTATTTGACACCATCAATCAATTCTCTAGTTTGCTTCTGGTTATTTTGATTTCTCTCTCCAACCCAGCTGAACTTATTGAGTACATCTCCTTACCTATTGTTTGCAGGTAGCTTTGTCTGTTTTAAGAGTAACGCTAGAATGTATTAAGTACCACCAGAATCATACTTTCGGACATAATAAATTAACTTGGCCATGTCTATCCAAAATTGTAAAAGCCTAGCAAAAAGTCAGACTAATTTGAACTAGCTTGCTTTCCACTGCACCGCACCAGCAAAACTCAAGATCAATCGGATGAAATGTAATCCTAACTCTAAATCCAAAATTATTATTTTTCCATAGGTCATAGGTCCCTTGTCCAAAGTTCTCAGCCTACTCTTAGTGAAAAAAGGGTCTTTAATTTTTTCCTTGATCAGCAGCTGCAATTTTACTCCTTACAACATAAATTTTCATGAATATTGAGAAAAGAACACACAACCATACTAGATAGTTACCAAGGAAGGTCACACAGAAAGGATGTGAGAGAGAGGTACACAGAAAGGATGTGAGAGAGAGGTACACACTGTTCTTAGATTCAGAGAGGCTCCTACAAGGGAAAAAATAACAGTCAAATCACTAAAAGAGGATAGAAGTACCAAGTTGTGTCACAAGATAGCTTATGCTAGAAGAAGGGCCACACCTATTTTGACATAAAAGTTGCAGAGACATTTTTGAGAGAAAATGAAGCGGCAATAGCTATCATGAGATTTCCAGAAGCTCTAGAAAGCAGAAGAAACAGAGGGACTTTTACAAAAGGCAAAGTGTCAGGTAAAGATCGGTGTGTTGATAGCTTTCTTACAAGATATCAGCAAGTTGTGAGGGAGAAAGAATTGGAGTAATTCAATGAATTTCGTGAGAGAAGTAAATGGACGCTTACCCTCTATACTTTCTTATTAACTCTAATCCCCATGCTCTAAAGATTTCAGATTTATCAGCCTGGTTTTAAGGGCATGGAATGTCATTCATGTATTCCTCTTTAAGAAAAGAAAGACTTTGTCTTGTAAAAGAAGCCTAAGGCTTGAGCCCTAAGTAGGAGAAAACCTTAGGGTTTCTCCAAAATTACTTGCGTCAAGGTGCTTAATGCTGATTTTTCTATGTTTCTTCAAATTCTCCTACATCATAATGGCATTGGTATTTGCCCTGGAAGACAAAGAGGAGATAATGGAAAACCATGTAACAGTCATGAGTCATGTTCCTGCAGCCAAACAATCTCTCATTAATAGCAAAATGACATAACCACATATTCCACTTTCGTGTTGGATCAATGCCTCCTTTGCTGCTTCTTAGACTTCCCAGGAAAACGATGACTCTCAACTAGTGATACAAAAGCTTGATGTGCAATACTTTGCACTAGGATAAATCCGCTGTCCACAGTTGCGTATGAAATAAGATTTGGGAAAGATTGGGGTAGGGAAGAGAAATGCGCAATCGTTAATACATATCAGATATTGTAGTGAAGTCAGTCAGATCAAGTGGAAAAGGAACAGAGGCATATTAACAATTCATCAACAGTCTTATGTCTAGTCACACACACAAAGGTACCGACAAATGTTGTACATTTAGGGAAATTACTCAGGTCAAACCTAATACTTGAACTATTTAACATCTCACTGGCTCTTTTGATCTAATTTCAAGTATCATCATTCTTGTCATCAAATTTCAAATAGCCCATAAAAGGACATCATCATGGGTCATAAATTGTTGGAAATTGTTCCATGCATGAATTCTTAAACAGTTGAACTCTAAGGGTGATTTGATAAATTTCCCATTTTATGATCATCAGTCAATGATGCATTATCTTTGTAATACTCTACATTTAATTTCAGCGAGTAACAACTATCATTTGTTCGAGGCGATTAGACAACAACACAAGCTCCAGAAAGAGAAAGCTAATATCCATGAGGTTGTTTTGAACCTCTAGTTCAACCTTGGTATAGCAGATGACCCCAAATCCTTCAATTGGAATTTTCTCTGTAGATATGCTTCAACTTCACAACACCCTGCCACTGACGATCCGAATTCAGCAAGTCATCAATATAGAACAATAAAAAACCCAATCCCCTTTTTTTATTTCTCAGTCTCACGAAGAGAGAGTGGCAACTGCCCAGTCTATGTACGCTTAACAACATGGTATAACCTCTCAAACCAAGATCAGGGTATCAACTGAAGTCCATAATGCTTTTTTGTGGGTACACACCAAATGGGTATAATAAAACTAATATCTTGGTGATTTAGACACGTAGGTCCTTTCCTTTAGGTCTTCAAGAAGAAATGGCTTGCATGCATTTCATAGATGCCCTATTGTTGTGAAGATGCATCGATCAAAGCATGTCTAGATAGTTGGTGACAGGAAAATGTCTCCTTCATGACGCAAGTCATACTCATGTCTATCACAATAGGCAACATATCTCCCCTTATAACATCCGCGCTCAATTGTTGTGAAGCTGCATTGGTCAAAACATGTCTGACCACTAATTATATTGGTGACAGATAAAATGTCTCGCTAATAATGCAAGTCATACTCTTGTCTATCCCCAATTAGACACTTCTAAAATGGTTGAAAGATTTCATTTTGGATATATAAACTCACTTTCCTAATGTGTTTATAAGATGAAGAAATTGGTAGACCACCCAGAGATACAATAAAGGAGAAATATTTTGGTTTTTTGTAAGGAATAGAAGGCTGACTAGATCTTCGTACTAGGATGAAATGTGGTGATTCCATATCAAGGCCACATGTCGGTTTACCTTTTGTATTCTTGGAGAAACCACCTTGGAAGATGTCGAGCAAAAATGATGGCAAGGACCAATGACAGGTTTATTAGGGAAATAAGTTAAGATCAGTGCCGATGATGAAGCCTATGAATGATTATATGATGCTGTCATATAAAAATTCCATGAGTATACATGCCTCGAAATCTTAAGTCTTTAGGCCGCAGTGTCATACACAATATCCTTTTTATGCCTCTCAAAAACCAAAAAGATTTATATTTCAGTTTTCATAGACTGGAGCCTATTCATAATGTTCTTGAGGACAACACAAATCACATAGGATGAAATTATGAACAATATAGAAAAATAAAATAAACAGTAATCAGGATATTCTAGTTAACTGAGAAACTGGAGATGTGTAGAGTAGCTAGAAGTGAGGTGCATTGATCTTAACACAACCTTTTTTCTAATATATGATGTCGACACAAGTTCCTCCCAAAAGCAATTTGGAAACTAATTTCAAGCATTATAGTTATTGCACTTCCAATCATGTCCCAATTTTAGCATTGCATTAAAATTTCGTTTATGGAGTGTTGGGTCAGGTTGCAATAGAATTCTTCTGATACTCATCGGACAAAGTAGAGTTTCCTAATGTGTTTATAAGATGAAGAAATTGGTAGACCACCAAAAGATACAATAAAGGAGAAACATTTTGGTTTTTTGCAAGGAATAGAAGGCTGACTAAATCTTCGTACTAGGATGAAATGTGGTGATTCCATATCAAGGTCACATGTCAGTCTACCATTTGTATTCTTGGAGAAACCACCTTGGAAGATGGCAAGCAAAATGATGGCAAGGACCAATGACAGGTTTATTAGGAAAATAAGTTAAGATCAGTGCCGATGATGAAGCCTATGAATGATTATATGATGCTGTCATATAAAAATTCCATGCTCAAACAAGTATACATGCCTCGAAATCTTAAGTCTTTAGGCCGCAGTGTCATACACGATATCCTTTTTATGCCTCTCAAAACCAAAACGATTTATATTTCAGTTTTCATAGACTGGAGCCTATTCGTAATGTTCCTGAGGACAACACGAATCACATACGATGAAATTATGAACAATATAGAAAAATAAAATAAAAAGTAATCACGATATTCTAGTAAACTGAGAAACTGGAGATGTGTAGATTAGCTAGAAGTGAGGTGCATTGATCTTAGCACAACCTTTTTTCTAATATATGATGTCGACACAGGTTCCTCCCAAAAGCACTTCGGAAACTAATTTCAAGCATTATAGTTATTCAGTTCCAATCATGTCCCAATTTTAACATTGCATTAAAATTTCTCTCATGCAGTGTTGGGTCAGGTTGCAATAGAATTCTTCTGATACTCATCGGACAAAGTAGAGTTTCTACCATCCTAGAGAAATTGTAAAGAAATTTAAACACTCAAATTGAACTCAAAGAAAATAGATCCACATATATCATGGAAATTTATTGAGAAGGTAACATAAAATGAAAATCATGCCTTATACAGAACAAGAGCAGCGCCTTACACATTAAAATGATTAACAATAACATTAAAATATTCAAGTGCTTTACAATTAGTAGATGCAGAAAGGGGCAGCGTGACATTTTTAGAGAGTAAACGACTTTTAGATTACATGTTCACAGTATGTTTATCATATACAAGACTAACTGCCACTAATGCTGACTTCAAAATAGATTCAAATCTTTTTAAATGTGGACAACCAAAGTGCCAATTCAGCAAGAAGATATACACACACACACACATATACATGTATATGCATATGAATATGTATATGAAAAATATATAAATATAGATACACATATACATATACATATATATGTACATATATATGAATACATACACACACGCACACACACATATATATACATACATAGAGAGAGAGAGAGAGAGAGAGAGAGAGAGAGAGTAGATAGATAGACGAGAGTAGAGTAGGGTTGTTGTACGTAGACTAATCTACGTAGTAATTAGTTTTACGGTTCTATTAGTGTTGTACGTAGGTAGTTTCGTACCTTACCGT